CCCAGATGAGGGCTCGCCCAGCAGCCGCGGAGCAGAAGCCAGGGGGAGTTGCAGTGACGCGCCCGTGAGCTCCGCCGGCCCCCAGCTGTGCCTGAGTGACCGAGCCCCAGGCCGAGAGGCCGGGGGCACCCCACCTCCAAAGGGGGCCCGAGCGAGCCCCAGGCCCCAGGCCCCGACAAGCGGCCGCCAAGGAGTGAGCCGGTGTGTACCCGGACGCCCACCCCCAGACACAAAGAACCACCAGCACACCGACACCTGAGGGAGTCCGCCACCGGCAGGGGAAGTGGTGGTGGGTGGAGATAGGCCTCCAAACCTTGGAGGGCCTGAGGTGTCCCCAGAGAGGTGGCGTCTGATACCCAACCTGACATATAGACACAGACATACAGGCACACACAGACACAAACATCCATTCCCACCCTCATGCTCTCATATGCACTCACTCCACACTCAACCAACGTGGAGATAGACATAAAGAGACGCTGTACACACAATCACACTCCCCAAGCGTACTCTACAAACCGGGTCTAGGTACCCTTGCCCCTGGAGGGGGGAATTGCACCCAGACCCAGGTGGTGTTACCCTTTTCCCTGCGGTGGGGAGAGGCAGACCACCCCGACTCCGCAGCAGCAGGGAGGCCCCACACCCCAGACCGCAGCCGGACGGCCAACTCCTCCTACTAGCCCTCCCGCTCCAGCAGGCCGCAGAGAATGGGGGTGGGAGAAGACTCCAAACCTCCCTCCACCCGCTCATTGTAGTGTTGATGCATATGTGATCTAAGGTGCAATTAAAACCCAGGAGGGCATGGAGCTACCTGCCAAGGAGCAGCAGGTAAGCGCATAGTCCCTCCTGCTAGCCCTCAATGACTAAGTGTATTTAAAATTGAGAGGTGGGCAACGACGTCAGGGGTGAGGTATACACCCTGATGGTCATTTGGACTCCGTGATTGTGCCCACCCCCAAGATCCTATATGTATGTGTAATGAGAGTGTGAATAATGTGAATGTCTAAGTTGTGGGATAAAATTGAGGCAGAGGCAGCCAGAAGGGGACAGAGGGGGGTAGCCTCCTCTGCACCCTGGTGACATACCCCTACTCCAAGGCCCTGTATGTGTGGGTGGTTGTGAAGGAGCGGGAAGAGGGAGGCAGCTGGAGATGGGGAGGGAAGGCAATTTGAAAAAGATTTTTGAAATGAAGTTTATTAACCCTTTAAAGCCGGTCGGAGCGGACACGCTCCATTTTGCGTAACTATTTTTAAATCCCGGTAGCACTGCAACCACGTAAGCTAGCGCAATAATTTTTTTTGCATATGAAACCGGAGGAGTTGTACTTACATCTTATGCCATCAGCTTGTCCTAGGTCAGTTCCTTCCACATATAGCTTTGCAAAAACTGCATAAAAAGCACTTGCAGCAACAAAAACATAATATTCCAGAAACACGCTTTGCCGATCCGATCAGCTGTTTATAACACTTCCTACGTCCATTAGCGAACTATCGCATGTCCTCCATGTCCTGCCCGAAACCGGAAGTGACGTCATTTTGCGGAAATGTAGTTTTTTTTACCATCAGGGCCTCATGAGCCTATACTGGTGTTTTTAAAAGTTATGTTTGACTTTATGACTTTCTGTGTCGTTTCTGGGATGCTTAGGACTCATATTGCACTGCTGGAAATAGTTTATTTTGATGCATATGCTGTTTTTTTGCAAATTTGCATTATAATATTTATTTTCGTTTTTCCTGCAGTATATAAAAATTGGTGTATTTCAAAAATAAAACTATGAAGACACTCAAAATAAATTTCCTGTGGTGGGAAACTATTTTGTGCAACTTTTTTGTATTTACAGTTTTGAGGGATAAGCCTCTTAAATTTCTCTAACTAGAAATATATGTTAAAAAAACAAAAATGATTTTAAATTTTTTTGTAGTTCATTGCACTTTTTTGCAATTTATGGAATTACTATGCACTTAATGCATACATATTATTAAGATTTGGGCTATAATGTTGTATTGTTGTATATCAACTTGAAATGCTCCCAAAAATGGTACTACAGCATGTAAAAATATAATATAAGCTCTGGCGGACTTGGTTCTATGGTAGGTCTTAAAGGGTTGAAGTGCAATTCGAAAATGTTTTTTGAAATGCAGTTTATTAAAGTGCAATTCGAAAATGTTTTTTGAAATGAAGACTTAAAAAGCATTTTAAAAATCAGTTTATTAAATTGGAATTCAAAAATGAATTTACAAATGCACATTTTATTCTACAATTCATTTATTTATTTGTGGTCCTCCATAGATGTGTACTGCTGCATTTCACTGAGTGTCCATCTGGCAACAGCACAAGCATGTTTTATATTTGTTCACATTTTATAAAGTTTACTCAGTTGACTAAGAAACAATTTTTCTGTTTTCTTCTCAGTGCTGTTAATCATAAATATTATGTAATATTATACAACAGACTAATACTGAATAAATCTTTAAAACTACAAGATTCTAAGGCAAGTTCTGAAGACTGCACTGCACTGCAGTAATCCGGTGACAGTGTCAGTATTGCCACTGCTACACAGCAAACAATGACTGTTGATAATTATTTCATTAAACATTTTCCAATTGTAAATGAGTAAGGTTTAAAACAACACTTATGTTACGGCCATGGTGTAACTCTGTTTAACGCAGGAACCTGCCCTGTCTAAAATATCTAATCACACTGGGACGCTGTCTTCCTTTGGGCTCCGCCTCTAAACAGACAAACGTCAGTTGCGATGAGCCAGCAGTACTGGCAACCTGCCAGAGTGTCATGACTTTATTGTGCAAGTGGCTGCTGCTGCTCATTTACAAACAAATCACAGTATCATCTGCAACACAATGAAAATGTATGCGTTTTTGTGTGCATTTTTTAATAATATTGCTTAAGAGGAACATGTATAATGTAAAAAGTATTAGTCCAAGCAGAACCCTGTGGAAATACATTGCTAATTTTGTGTGTGACAGATACTATTCAAACCATCGCAGCACAACTCCAGTAATGCCATTGGTGCGTTCTGATCTCTGTAGTAAAATACTGTGGTCAACGTTATTGAAATGCACTAAAGTCTAACAGCACAACCAGAGAAATGAATCCACTGAAGATTGTTTGTAACCTTCATTCGTGTTGCTTCTGTGCAAAGATCCACTCTAAATCCTGACTGAAGCTCATGAAATGAGCAATTTCTTTGGAAATATGTTTGACAAGAAATGTTTCAAGAATTTTTGAATATTATGACAGATGATTTTGAGGCTAAATTATTAATATTTTAGATTTAAGCATTAATTAATGTTGAAAAGTCTTTGAATAGTCTTATAGGAATGGGGTCTAAAAGATATGTTGGTGGTTTATCGGAAGAAATGTAAAAGTTCACTCAAAAAGAAAGGAAGAGTAAGTAAATAGTAGCACTTGTAAAAGTTTAACTTGAAATAAGCCAGGAGGGAAGCTGTCGGTAGTTTCCTTTTTCTTTTTTTTCTAATGGTTAAAATTTTATCTGTGTAAAAATTAGCAAATTCATTGCTCAGTCTGATTCTTTGTCACCCTGGTCACAGTGCCAAAAAAGAACCTGGAGTTGTTCCTGTTTTCAGTGACGAATAGTAATATATCCGAGCTCTATGGAAGGCTTTTTTTTATATAGTAACCACCTGCCTGAAAGCTGAAGTCTCTGTCAACCATTCTACTTTTAAAAACTCAGACTAGGAACTACAAGTACGCCAGCAGTCTGATCTTGGGGCGATATAGGAGTTAGTAACTCACACAAAAGTTACACTGTTTAGGATAACAACATGAAATTAGCATTAACAACTCTCCACCACACTCCCTAAGCCTTTCACACTGTTTTCAAAACAAGTTGAGAACACATATTGTTAATCTAATATTAATATATAAGACTAATTAAGAAGAAGTGTTTACAGAAAGTGTTAAATTGTTTTCAACAAAAATATATTTGGTTGATTGCTGAAAGTGTTTAATTACTGGCATTCAAGACATTCAGAGGCTGCAATGTGTACAGACGTTTTTAAAAATGTACCAAAAGTACTGCATATTAACTGTCATGAACTGATGGATATACGAGAACTGGACCCAAGAGCAGAGTCAATACAAATGTTGAACAATTTACAAGGTTTATTTACATAATTTGTCAGAAAAAGAAAGTACAGAATTTTCCATCATGGGACAAGAAAGTGATACAAAATCTAGAAACTGAAACAAGAACATGGCTAGAAACCAAACACGTAAACAGGAGACCTAGAGCCGAGAATGGTCGAGGGTGGAGAAATATTTGACAGGGGGAGCACATGGAGAGAGAAGGAATGGGGAGCTCTGTAACAGAGGAGAGAGAGGTTACTGGGCAGAAAGGCAAGAGAATGACCAGAGGTGAGTGTGTACTGCCATGGGGTGTGCTTACTTGCAGCTTGGATATGGTGAGTCCACACCATCTCTGGAAGTGGAGGACACCCCAGTGGGGGAGGAGGCAGCAGGAGAATCTGGTAGAAAGTGAGAACATAAAGCAGCTTTAGATATGGGATGAAGGAACAGAACAAGGAAGCCAAGTTACCACCAGGGGCAGCCACCAGGGGTAGCAGAACGAACTGGTGGTGAGAAGCAAGCTTGTTATCAAGTGATACCCACCCCACTCTCAGGACTACTTTTTAGTTAGCAGATGTATTATGATGGATATCACAGACATTTAGATTCACCCTATCACTAGTAGGGATCATGAACTAGTATCTATCTCTCTGACACAGAAAAGAGTTACACCGGAATTACAAACTGGAGAGTGGATAAATCATTAGTTAAAGAACAAGACTGCATTAATTATTTCAAAAGCCGTAGGGCAATATAATTAGAAGATAATAAACTTCCAGGAATATCAACATGTGTTCCTTGGAAATCAAAAAAAGGGAGCAAAGATGGGCAAAATACCTTACTGTTACACTCAGAAAAATTATGGTTCTTAAATGGTTCTTCAGATGTGACCATGTAATCAACCATGGTCTTTCACTAAGAGAGGCTGGTGAAAGAGTGCAGCCCAATTTGAGGCGGTCAACGGTTGCCTCCATTATACGCACCTTTCAACAAACCAACAGGTAAGTATTGCATTTTACATGGATTGTTCCTATTCTCACTTGACATGTCAATATGGTCATACAGTAATGCATATGTTGAATTGTCTGTCTTTCTAAAGAATGCAACGTCTTCCACCCTCTGGGGGAAGAGGAAAGCTCCTCAGTAATGATCAGGAGCTTGCCATTGTGGAAATGGTTACTGCAAATAATGCAATAAAACTGCGTGAAATACAAACCAGAATTGTGGCGGACCATGAGATATTCGACAATATCGATAGAATCAGCCTCACAACCATTTCGCGGACATTGTCCAAACATAGAGTGCGGATGAAGCAGCTCTACACTGTTCCCTTTGAGAGGAACAGTGAGAGGGTCAAGGAGCTACGACGACAATATGTCCAGGTACAGTGTATATTCAATCCAATGTCCAGTTCTATAAGCTTTGCACTTTGCAAGTAGGTAACCTACACAATACTAGGTTACAGTACAGTATGGTATACAGTACTAACATGACTTACATAAACTTTGTTTCAGAGAGTTATGGAATTGGAGGCCAACCAGGCCCCTCATGAATTCATATACATCGATGAGGCAGGATTCAATCTGGCCAAAAGGCGTCGACGTGGACGGAATGTGATTGGTAAAAGGGCCACAGTTGATGTGCCAGGACAGAGAGGGGCAAACATTACCATGTGTGCAGCAATTGCAAATGCAGGATTACTCCTTCACAAATGTCAGGTTGGACCCTATAATACAGAGCGCTTGCTTGCCTTTCTCAATGATCTCCACCAGCGCCTGGTTCCAGAGCAGGGTCAGGAGGGTGAAAACATGAGGACCTTTGTAATTACCTGGGACAATGTGGCTTTCCATCACTCGCAAGCAATAACAACATGGTTTGAAGTCCACCCAAGACTGGTGAGTCTCTTCCTTCCACCCTATTCACCTTTCCTCAACCCCATAGAGGAGTTCTTTTCTGCATGGCGGTGGAAGGTTTATGACCATCAGCCACATGACCAGATGTCCCTCCTTGAAGCCATGGATGCTGGCTCCAGGGACATCACAGTTGACGATTGCCAAGGGTGGATCCGACATACCAGGCGGTTTTATCCCAGGTGCATCGACTTGGCTGACATCAGATGTGATGTTGATGAAAACATGTGGCCTAACCCTGAAGATCGCAGAGATTAGATGCAACTTTTTTGCCTTTTTTTAGCCCCCCTCCCCCCCTTTTTATCTTGGCTTTTTGCTGTTGTTTTTTTGTTCAGAATGCTCTTGTGTGTTCCATGGATATTTTGTTCACTGTAAGCAATACTGTGACACTTTCTCTGTCCTATCATACCGTGTTTCTACTGTACCTCCTGTAGTAAACAGTAAAGACACAGAAACTTGTTTGCTTTTTACTGGAATGCTTTTGAATGTGAACATTACTGTACATGTGGACATGCAGTTACCAACCAAGACATTTCTGGTGTCAAAATGGTGGATTGCATGTTTCGCATGCACATACCTGTAAAACTGAAACATAAAAGTCTATGCAGTTTTTGTAATGTCAATAATAGCCAGTATTTTGACACCTGGTGTACTTTGATTGACTGCATGTACCTTGTGAAGTGAAGACAAGTGTTATTCTTTGACAGACTAATTTCATTTTGAGTCAGATTTATAGTGTTTTTGTACAGTTAGTGTGTGCAGAGAAAGATGTGTTCTAATTTTGAAATGAGGAGTTAGTATATATTTAACAGAGTGTATTTTTGGGAAGGATATTATCCATTTGGCCAATTGTGTTTTGTAGGTGTGGGTCTGTGTTAAGAGTTTAGAAAAAGGGTCTTTAGGCTTTGGCCCCCACCCCTGCCACCAGTATATTTTTAAGCAAATATTTCTAACTTTTATTTGAATATTCAGTTTCCTACCATCTTCTCTTAAAGGGTAATTGCCAGGTATCCGCCCTCTCCCCTTCGCACACACATGCACACAAAGAAAACACACAGTATAATTCACAGCCTCATTATAGTGAATAAATATTTATGCCATTTACACCATCAAACTTAGATTGCTAAGGATGAAGAACCTTTTGTTCTTTAAAGAACCATTTGTAATAGCTGAAGAACCATCCACAAAATAAAAAGGTTCTTTGACGTATGATGGTTCTTTAAAGAACCATGAAGA